TCAAAACTTACGCCTGAAGCTTGTTGTGCCGTGAATTAGATTTAGATTGCACAAAGAGAGGAGCAGTCATGGAAAACCAGTGGCAGGTTTTACACATCAGGGGAGTCAAACCGCTCCTTACTTCTTGAGTTCCTCCTCCAGATCCCTGTTCTTGTCCTCCAGCTTGGTTCTGGCCTGCAGCACGGCCTCCAGCTCCCCCTGCAGCATCTCCTTCTCACAGGTCAACTCGTCCACCTTCAGGATCAAGTCTTTGTTCACCACATTCAAGGCGTTCCTGGAGAGACGGGCAGAAGACGAGCACTAATGAGGGGTTCAGTGCCAAAGAGCCCCACAAAAAAACCAACAGTTCATGTTTTGTTGATAAGTGAAGCAAAGGAGTCCAACCAACAGCCCACTGGTCATGTCACAAGTTTGGCCCGTGATGGTTTTGCCATTAAAATTTAAAGGCAAAATACTGTGAATTTCAATGAAGTTCATCGTCATGGAGATGATTTGGCTGAGAAGCGTCTTATCAGGTACTTTATTACACCTGCTCAGAGCTGCTCAGGCTCGTACAGCTGCTGGAGGCCAATCATCACCACCTGAAGAGTTCATTTGCATAAACAGATAACTCCACTTTTGTAGATTTTCAGAAAACAGATTTTGTTTTTGTTGCTGTTGTTTGCTTGAGATCATATGACTCAAACTGGAGTTGAGTGGATTTGACTCAGTAGAAATGACAACAACAGAGATAACTTCACTGATGTTGTCTCAGGTAGACGGTGGAAAAGTGGGTTTTCTGAAGGTTGGTGAAGACGGAGTTATCTGTTGTTGCAAATGAACTCCTCACTTGTTTTGTCCAGAAGTAAACATTTTTTTAAGACTTATTCAGAATTAGAGGTTTTATTTGGGTCGGACATCACATGTAACTGGGACGAACTTATACGCTCTAAAACCAGGAAAGGTCTCATCAAGAAATGGCTTAAGCCAGACGCCCCATCAACAGAGCATTGGTACGACATAATTTATTAAATATTTGTAATGGAGAGAATAAGTTTTTCTATGAGACTGCAACAGAGCAAATTTGAAGCTATTTGGAAAGATTGGAAAAAGAAGATTTGTTTCATTCACCCTTCTGTCTGCATATTAAGGTATTTTTATTGTATTTTAATGAAAACGCCCCATTTTCTTGTTGTTTTTACGTAATTGCATAAAATGTGTTGCGACAAAGAAAAAGGAAAACGGGAAATTATCTGTGATTAAGAGGATTGTATGTGATGTATTGCACACGTGACTCCAAATATAAGAAAATTTAATCTCAAACTGGACCAATAGCCACAGGAACCGCATGTAGTTCCACGTGTTTGCGATTCAAGATGGCGGACGGCGCGATCTCAAGCGTAAAACTCAACTCGTAGGTACGGTAAGGTAAAATAAAACCTAACCACCACCAAGCATCTGTCTCTACCCCATGGTCCTCAGGAGTATCTCTAGTTCCTGATGATGTAAACTCTTCAGTGCTGTTTAACAAGACAAACCTGGAATCAGTAGAAAATGTGGTACGGCCCGCTTTGGCAAATTAAAACCTCAATAAGTCATCACAAAGCAGCTGCTGCTATCTCTGGACAGCGTTGAAACATCTTTGGATAATGACTCCTCCAACAACCAGGATGCTTTTAGCAAATTTCTCTCTAAAACTACTAAATGTGGTTTGACCCACTTTAACCCCCTCAGATGATCGTGAAGCGCTGGAGATCAAACATCGAAGTTTAAATTGTGTTCTTACTTTGTCTCAAGCAGCTGCGAGTTCTCCTGAATTAGATTTTCTACTTCCCGGCCCATACCTGGACGGAAATGGAGACGGCGTTAGAATTTTATTGCAATAAAACACACAAACAAAGAAGAAAAACTATTTGACAACAAACTACTTTAGCACTACATACAGAAGAGGTAACATCAAATCCAACACGAGGATGTGAAATATCTCCTAGAGAGATATTTGTCGGGTTTCACAGCACAACAGACTAAACACGACACACAAAAACCCCACAGCACATGACTGACGGGAGAAGAATGGATAGAGTGGGTGAGGTCTTACCAATCAAACTAAGGTCTGAGAAAACCATGCAATCCAAGTCAGGCGGAAAGAGTAAGGAAGAGAGAGAGAGAGAGAGAGAGAGAAAGAAATGCGGATATAGTTTGAGACAGTGGAATGATCAAAAATGATGAAAGGAGTCGGAGCTAAAGCTGCTGACTCCACAAGCAAAAAGGAAGAGATGCTGCCAAATCTCTGAGGCTAAACACATCTGACATTTGTAGCAGTAGAGAGGAGGACAGGAGGAAAAGCACCGGGGGAACAAAATTAAAATATCTTAAGCTGTAAAAAGAACAATTAGGCCAACAAAGGAAGCACTGAAATCCATCCTTCATGCACCAAAACCTTGTAAAAAAAAAAAAAAAGGCTGAGAAGCTACAAACTGCACCTGACAACCGTTATCAAATGAAGAAGAAGCTGAACGAGGGTGGACATGGCAGAAGGGTGGCTGATGGAGTGGAGGTCAAAGGGACAGCACAGGACAATGTTTAGCGTAAGGAAAGTTTGAGGTCATACACACCAGAGTACTCCACTGGGATTATGGACAAAAGCCAGAAGAATGAGACACACGGGGGGAGAGAGAGAGGTGATGTTAACATGGGTCGATGGCGAACAGCGCGTTCAACAGCTGGACCGAAAGCAAAGCGGCCAACAGCAGGTGCTGGAATGAATTTAACATCAGCGGAACCACAGCTGCTCGTCACATCGGAACCGGGAAGCTCACGTAAAACAGCTCCAGTGAGTTAAGAAAATAAGTAAAGCCTCTGGTTGGTTACAGCACGATGGAGCGCTAGGGCCACGTTAAGAAAAATGCTTCCACAGACCTCGAGAACAAAGTCGGAACACTTACGAGAACAAATTTGTAACTTTATGATTAAAAAAAAAAAACTTTACAAGAAAAAAGTCATTATTTTATAAGGATACGGTCGTAGCATTTATGAGAATAAAATTGTAACTTTATGAGAAAAAAATCAGAATATTACAAGAATAAAAAGTCGGAATTTTATGAGAATAAAGTCGGAATTTTGCAAGAAGAAATTCGGAATTCTATGATTAAAAAAAACTTATATCACAAGAAAAAAAGTCATAATTTTATGGGAATAGAGTCGTAACATTTACGAGAACAAAATCATAATTGTACGAGAGAAAAAAAGTAATATTACAAGAAAAAAGTCGTAATTTTAGAAGAAAATAGTCAGAATTTTACGAGAATAAAGTCGAAACATTTACGAGAACAAATTTGTAATTTTATGCTAAAAAAAACAAACAAAAAAAACTTGTAATATTACAAGAAAAAAGTCATTATTTTATAAGGATACGGTCGTAGCATTTATGAGAATAAAATTGTAACTTTATGAGAAAAAAATCGGAATATTACAAGAATAAAAAGTCGGAATTTTATGAGAATAAAGTCGGAATTTTGCAAGAAGAAATTCGGAATTCTATGATTAAAAAAAAACTTATATCACAAGAAAAAAAGTCGGAATTTTACAAGAATAAAAGTCAGAATTTTATGGGAATAGAATCGTAACAGTTACGAGAATAAAATCAGAATTGTACGAGAAAAAAAAAGTAATATTACAAGAAAAAAGCTGCAATTTTAGAAGAAAATAGTCCGAATTTTACGAGAATAAAATCGAAACATTTAAACCAGTTGTTTTCAAAGAGGAAAGTTGTTCAAATGAGGACCGTGGAGCATTTGGTGACGTCGTACTTCAGCATCCGGTTCACAGACGAGGAGATACTTCAGCACCACATGATCATCAGTATCACGACTTTGAAAATCACGACTTTATCCTCGGCTGTGTAAAAATAGTTTTCTAAATGTGGCCCTCGCACTCCGCTGTAGTTACACAGTTGTAGTAAAACAAGTAATAAAAATTAGAAATAAAATCAACAAGCAAGAGGCGAAGAACACGGCAGTAGGATATACAGCAGACAGTGGGTTGTTAAGACTAATAATGCTGCATAAGCCTTTGTAAGGATAAGCTGCAGTTCTATGTGAGGAAATCATCAATACTGACTCAAAATCTAACTCTAAAAAGTATCACATCTCAATTTGTGTTTGTTTTTAAATCAAAAACATTTGCTTTAACATCTGAATGTATTTAAGACTAAATAAATCCACAGGAGGCTGGGAGTTAAATCCAGCCGACACAGATCACCTCTGACCTGAGAATTCAAACAGCAGTAAAACAATCATCAGCGCTGATGCTTCAGTAGCCACGTATAGCAAACTACAAATCAGTATTTTCCATGAGCACAGTAGAAATGTCACAAACAACATGCAAAACAGCTTTTATGTAACCTGCTCTGTGCTGTGAATACTCAACTGGACTACTCTGAGGACTACTGGACTGCTGCCGGAACAATGGCGGTGAGGTTTGTACTCACCCAGCAGATCCGCCCCCTCGTCCACGTCCCCTATGAGCCCGGTGCCCGCAGACGACAGCTCCTCGAACAGGGAGTCTGTGTTGCGGTCGAACGCCATGTTCTCGATGCCTTTGGTGGGAGTGCTGAAAGAGGAGCAACGACAGCAGGGTGACGCTTTGCCACCCGCTGAAACTTTTGGCTAAAGTTTGGCCTGAAAGCTCGCCGGCTGCGCTACCTGCAGGGTTTGTAACCGATGAGATCCATGTCCAGCTCGGGCGTGGACTCGATGATGTCTTGCACGTCTGAGCTGTCCTCGTTTTCAGGCAAACCTGCGCAAGACATGAAAGAACCCCCACAGAGGAAGAATAAGCAAAGAACAATTACTAAAAGATGTTACTGGTGGTATTTTTAGACTGGAGCAGAAAAAGGTTCTCTTGTGACACCTTGCAGAAAATAGAACTGCATAAATCGAATGATTGTGAATCTGTAAGTACCAGAACTTTTGACCCTACCTACTGATATGGACCTGGTCCCCGGTGCAGCCTGCACCTCGGTGCTCTTACTGTTCCCGTCGTCCCTCTCCATGTCCGAGGCCGTGGTGGACATGGGCGTGGCCGACTTGGAGCCGGTGAAGTCCGACAGCTCATCCTGCGGTGAGGAGGAACTCGTTCACAGCAGCGCTTACAGAAAGCCATTCAAAGGGTCCAAACGACCCCCTTGAACGAACTGGTGTCAAAACGAACAACACACAGCGCCGAAGGAAACGACCACAAAACAACAGAGCTCAAGATCTAAAAGGAAACAGGAGGCACGATGACAGACACACACAGTCCAATTTCTCTTGCGTTGTGTGGAGCACTGAATAAAAACCTGCCTCTAATACTAAAAATCTCACTAACATTCAATTTTAATTCAATTTTATTTGCATAGCGCAGTTTACAGCATGTGTCATCACACAGCGCTTAACCTGGTGCAGGCCTCACACTTCAGGACGACAACTAAACATTACAACGGACCTCTTTTGAACACATTACTTTAAACTCAACAAACTGAGATCACTTGTGTTTGCTTCACCTGATTTAGTTCCTCTCTCGTGTGAAACTTGCTCCAGAAGTTTGGCTTTACTGCTGCAGCCTAATCCTGGTTTATCAAACTTCAGCTTACTGTGAACTGAGGTTTCAGACTTAAACTCAACCATTATCTTCATGAACTCATTGTTAACAAAAAGACATTTTTATACTCAACAAGGTCCTCTTTTCTTTTCTTTTCTTTTCTTTCCTTTTTAGCCAACTAACACCAGTTTTATCACATTTTATTTAAATTTTTTGTGCAGCAAGTTTAAAAAAAAAAACCCTAAGATTTCTGCTTTTTGCAAGAAAAACTGAACTAAATAAAATAATCAGAAACCTTAAACTACAGCAAATCTTTTTTTGTGTGTGTGTGAAATTGGAGCTCAAGAAAACAGACACATAAACGAAAAGAACCTTCACACGCTACAGACAGACAACACGGGGAAACGCACAAACACAAGGTCCACACGGCACCACACGGTTTGCTTCACACAACATCAACTGAACACAACGAAGGACGACAGCGAGGGGAATCTGCCGCTCTGCTTCTAACACACAACACAAAGGTCCGAAAACTTGCTTGGGAGGAAATTAAAAGCCCAACGTAACACAGCTACGGCAGGAGGTTCAAACGTAGCACGATGTTGTGTTATTGCACAAATGAGTGACGTTTAAAAGTCATGCATTCTGGTGGAAATGAAACACAAACGTGGAGGCCAGATGCAACCGAGCTGTTGTTGACCTCGGCTTGATTAATAATTAAGCGCTTAGACTGTTTTGAAGGATCCAGATGTGGTCGTTGCACGGTTGCATGTGGCACTTTGAAAGCGCAGGCGGCCTGTGAACTGAGGAGGTCGAACAAATGCACAAAGTGAGAGGCGACGCTTTTGAAAAAGATGAAACGGCATAATGGAGGAAACTACTGAAGCCCACACAAACACAAACTGCGCCGACCGCGGCCAGCGCAGGAGAGCTGCTGCCGCCGCCGCCGACGTTCACGCCGTCATCCAACTACCTTGCAGTCGTCTGCCAGTGAATTCCCCCAAGTAGAGTCCTGCGCACTCTTACCCTCCCTTTCCTTTGGGGGGTCGACAAAGTCCAACTGCTTGGGGGGGAAGAGTAAGAATGAAGCTCACATGTGCAGAAGCAGTTCGACAGAAATGCAAACACCCCAAAGTGTGCATGTCTGTGAAGTGGATGGAAGAGTCACCTAGCTAACAGCTGTGCATTTACCATATATCCTGGATATCAGACACTTTAATGTTGATTAGTTGAGTCAGTTTCTAAAAATATTGTTCTGCAGCTATTCTGAGAATCGATTAATGTGACAGTAAACTGAACACACACACAACAAAAGGCATCTACTGACCGCAATCTGCCTTTTTCACTGTTTCCTAATCGTTAGCTGCAGCTCTAACAAAACTGCTTCTATAGTCAAACCATGATAACTTCTAACTTGTACTAAGATTCATGCTAATTCGACAAGGTTTGATATTTTCACTTAACCCTCTAAACCCAAAGCAGTTTCTGGACATTTTGTCACATCTTCACTCACATTTTTTAGTCCAGCAGATTAATGAAAACAGCGCAATCATGACTAGAACAAAGTTAAAGTGCCACTAATCATGAAAAAAGTTAAAAAAAGAACAAAATCGTTCCCACAAGAGTCAAAAAAGGGAGCTCGACATACTACGGATATTCTTACATCCGTGTCTTCCGTCTGCTTTGTGTAAATAAAGTTTTACTTGTTTTTTCCAAGTGAAAGCGAAAAACATCAAACGTGTTCAGCTCAAGGACAGTCGGATGGTTGAAAATCCGAAGATGCTTCATGTTTCTTGCCGCGGCGAGTGGTGTCATTTCTACAATTTACAATTTCATTAAACAGACGCTTCCATCCAAAGCCAGAGTCGATCACATTCATGCACCAACGGCGACAGAGCTGCCACGCATCCATCTGGAGCAACGTCAAGTTCAGTGTCTCGCCCAAAGGCACTAGGACTGTGGAGGGGCCGGGGATCGAACCGCCGGCCTTGTGATTAGAGGACAACCCGCTCTACCACCTGATTCTGCATTTAAAAGACAAGACGCCGTTGAAACCCGGCGGCTGGCTGAGGAGTTCAGAGGGTTAACAGAGAAGTGAAGTCACGACTCAGCTGTAAAAATAACAAACATTTAGTGTTTTTACTCTTTCATCGCTCGATAAAATACTAATTAAAAAAAATCCACCTGCTCTATTTAGATGCATTAATGGAATAATATGCAATGATTTAAAAAAAAAAAAGCACTTGAGCCAGTTTCAATGGGGTGGTTTTGCTCACATGAATCATATTTTCAACCTGACGCCGCCTTTTCCTCCCATAAATAAACACGACGTACGTTTGCATATCAAAGCCGGCCGTGTTCAAAAGGGCCACGGCTCAACAATAACCATGCTGTAGCTGCGATTACGTAACATCCAATCGCATCCCGGCTAGCCTCTTTCTCCCTCAGCGACTGGCTGCGAGCCACACAGCGGCGGCGGCGGCGCTCCCGTCGTGCACCGCGCTTCACAGCCCGTGTCCCAGATTCAACTAAGAACGCAGCAGCGGGATGAGATAACGTCCTCCGGGTCCTAACTGCCACAGATACAAAACACACAGCCCACATGATGATGTGTAGCTGAAAGGACAAAGCCATCGAGAAATTTAGAACCACGTCGGATGATAAAGCACAAAATTCACATTAAATTATTTGCTTCCAAAAGACGATCGCTGCATATTCATGGGACACTTTTAATGATCTCCTCCGACTGCTGCACCAGAGGAAGTCTGCATATTCATCAATGGTTAAAGAAGAGTCTGGAAACAGAGGTGGCCTTGTCAGATGCCTGCTAAAATACGCATCAGCACGCCCGAGCCTTATCAAAGGCTCTCTATCTATAAACGGATCCGAAGCCAAAACTCCTCCATCTTCTATCTCTGGCAGAACAGCTGGAAACACTCGGCTACAGCGGTCGTGTCTTCGTCCACATTTCCTGTATTTATGTTTCTAGTTTGTGTACAAAGCAGTGACTGTGCATAGATGAAACACTGAATTGCTGCTTTCCATCATTTGAGTTTGAATGTTTAGTGAAAAATACAATAATTGGGATCCAAGAAAAGGGGAAGAAAAAATTCTGCAATGTTGGTTTTTTGTGTCAGGATGTTGTTTGTACGTTCATTTCTGCACCCACCTTGAGGCTGGTGTTGGACCGAGGCTGTGAGGAGTCGGCGAACCTCCAGCCTTCTGTTCCCGGAGTCTCTGCTCTGGTCTGGGGATCCGGGATGAGCAGCGACGCCCCGCCGGACGACGGGAAGATCCCCAAAGACAGAGGGCGCTCTCTCCTGGAGGGACAAACACTTTGAATCGCGTCTTTTCGGACACGTGGCGCTCGTCGGCTCACCCGCCGCGACCTCACCTGACTCTGCCCACCGAGCTCGACTCCGAGGTCTCACTGATCTGCTGCATCTTGATCCTCTCCACGTGCTCCATGTAATTGTGGATCATCTGTCGGCGAGTCAGAGCAAAACACTCGTTGGAAGCCGGTCACGGATGTAAACAACGGTTACAAGTGCATGTTTTCCCGCTGCGTTACCTCCGTGTGCCGCTGATGGAGGGAGTTGTACTCCTTCTTCAGCTCCAGCTCTCGTTCTTCTAACCTGCCGACTGAAACGGATGACAGCCGTTATTTGCCGCTATTTTTCTTGACTGATTGTAGGAGCAGATCAGGAAACAGGAAAGCGACAAACCAGTTTTTGACCGCTGAGCAACACACTGAAAGTTACCGTATGCATGGATGTTGATTTGGAAATATGCACTTTAAGAAGATTTGGATATCAGATAAAGAAGCAAGAGGAGTCTGACTTTAATTCATCAGACACAAGAATAATAGCTCCTCAATAAAGTTTTCCTGTTTGGACTCCCTCAGTGGCTTAAAGCATCGGCTTCGCCTCTAAAATGCAAGTCAAGAACTGGTTTGTCCCTTTCTGGTTGGAAACCCTACCTAGACAGAAAGGTTCCTACCTCACACCGGTACAACCGACAAACAAACCCATGAACAGCGAGTCCTGATCTGCTCATACACTGATGAATTAAAGGGCCACTCCGGGTGTGATGCCTCCTCTCTGTCTGTGGTCGCTCTATGGTCTCAGAAACGTTTCTCAAACAGAGAAAATTGAACAAGAAAAACCAGGAAGTTGGCTCCTGTCACAGCGGCTAAGGCTACGCTAACGATAAAAAAAATGATAAAACAGTGACAGATTGAGAAAACAGAGACTGCAGGAGACAAACTGATCAATCACAGTCGCATAAACATCCATCATCCATACACCGCTTAATCCTCACTAGGGTCATGGGGGGCTGGAGTCTATCCCAGCTGACTCAGGGTGAAGGCAGGTTCACCTGGACAGGTAACCAGTCTATCACAGGGCTACACTTAGAGACAGACAACCAAGCACACTCACATTCACACCTACGGACAATTTACAATCACCAATTAACCTCAACATGTTTTTGGACTGTGGCCGGAAGCCGGAGAACCCAGAGAGAACCCACGCTGCACGGGGAGAACATGGAGACTCCACACAGAAAGATCCCGGGCGTCCTCACCGGGACGCGAACCGGCGACCTTCTTGCTGCGAGGCAACAATGCTAACCACTGCCCCACCTTGCAGCCCAGTCGCATAAACATCGTTTTGAACGACAGGTTCTCTGCTATCAATCATTAATTGTTAAAACATTATAACATCGGCCTTTCTTGATCACCAATAACCGAATAAAAACCTCGTATAGTTGGATCCTTAAAAAAAAAAAACACATCTTGGGAATGAAAAGTTCAACACCTTGCAAGACTATAAATCATGAAACATTTGACGCAGCTTTGTTTCAAATCTTGTGATTATTGATTGTAGCCTGTAAAAGCACAACGTTCCTCCACCAGAGAGGCTCCGTCGGAGGGGGTTCATCTCGCTCGACGGGTTTCAGCGCTGGGCCGACTTACCAAGTGACAAAAACACCTAATCCCCTATTAGTGCATCAGGTTTAGCCTAAGCCACACCGTGAGCCGCCGCAACAGACGGATATATGAAGCTCGGATGCTATCAATGACAGCGGCTAAAGCCTGTTGCACGATGATGTCTCGCCTGTGTGTGTGCGCACCGAGCCAGATTTGTGGAAACAAGCCAGAGACGGCAGCGATCCTTCCCACAAGTTTGACAAACGAGCGTGGCCGGGAGCTGAACGCTGAGGCCGCGACACTGATTGAAGATATAATTTACTCACCTAATCTGTTTAACACTGTTACATCCATCCAGACGGGATAAACAAGACGCCACGCAAACAGCCGTGTTAGCGTCCATTTAATGCAGTGTTATAAATGTGCTGGGATGCCTACGGGCTGTGTGTCTGTGTGTACGTCTTCATAATCAGAGTTGTGGCAGTGATCTGAAACAGCAGCTAGATGTGCTCAAGTCTGGATCTCAGCCTGGATGAACGAATGGGAACTTTGGAGTGAGAACGCAGACCTGAAGCTGATAAATGACTGAGTATAAAACCAACATGTCTAAGCTATACTCTGTACCTGCGTGGACTCTGGCTCCTCACAGGCAATCAGCACACAGTAATGAATGATTGACCAGTCAGAGGGCGAGTCGGTTGAACCCTCCGACTGGTCACGTGGAGTGCAGCAAAACAATAATTACAGCTGAGATTGGAGACACCAAACAAGCACTGATCTGCTTCGTGTCTTCCTTCTTAATGCTTCGGCTGGGAGTCAGACAGTTCTTCTTCCCCCGTTAACCAGCTGTGTTGCTCTGCTGCTGCCACCGAGCACCATTGTGCGGATTCACTTTTTCCCCCATCGAGCCGATGCCTCCGCTGCTTAATCCACCAGTAAGATGGGCGGTAATGCAGTGCCGCATTAGGAGGATGGGAATAACAGAAATCCTATAATCCCATTACTGTCGCCGCTGCAAAGGCGGAGAAAGAGTGTGTCTTTTTGCGTAAGTGTGTGTCGGCGTAAGAGGAAGAAGATGTGACGAGAGTAGAAAAAAAAACTGGAGCTAAATGACAACACGAGGGGCAAAATGTTCACATCCGTCAGCGTAAGAGTGTCTCTGGGCTTGGAGCTGAGATTCAACACGATTAAAAATAATATTCCACTGAAGGAATAGGACTGTATAACAACAACGAAGCAAACGAGAATGTTTGACTTTGGTCTCCACCGTGCGAGAGGAATGACGGCACCATGCTGGAGGAAGCACCATCACCTGGACTGTGGGAGAAGGAGCTGAGACGTCGACGTATATAGTCAGAGGTAAACATAACGAGTCCTGGCCAACGAGTCACATCTCACCGACTGAAATGTGAAGGCTGTACATATGAATGAGCTACTGATCTTTAATTCTTATCCATTTATTTTGTCCTGTTGTTTCTTGCTCGTCAGCGGCTGTTTAATTTGCTTTTTGTTTAATTATCGGTTTTTAGCTTTATCACTGTCATGTCATGTATTTTTCTTTATTGAATGTGACACTACAGGAGGGGATACATATATATGTCATGTTTTCCTATAAAGGTTTAAACCTTCACTAATAAAAACGAGTGTAGGTGTGGGCTCACTTTGGTCCGCGTAGTTCTTGATCTTGAGCTCCAGCTGCCGAGAGTGCGACTCCATTCGGTCCACGTGGTTCTGCAGGTCCTTCTTCTCCTGCTCGTGGGTGTCTTCGAACTCGATGAACTTCTGCTCACACACAAAGAAAAAAAAGTTTGAAGTCACAATCGGACCAAGAAGAAGAAGAAGAAGACAGCGGGTTCAGACTCCTATCTGAAGAAGACCACACATCCTGAGCTCAGACCAGGAGGAGAGCTCACATTACACCGATTAGTCTCCGTCCCGGTTACCTGTCTCTGTTAGAACTGGTTTTAAGATCCTTTTATTAGTTTATGAAGTTCTTTTCTCTTTTGAACCCTCGGGTCTTCTGGTCGTGGCTTTTAATTAAACCTCAAAACCTCTGGACCACCTACCAGAAGACCTGAAGGCAGCGGGACGTGTTGATATTTTCAACCTGACTTTTAATCAGGCTTTCGACTGATTTTATAGATTTACCAGGTTTTATTTATTTTAAACTCATTTTATGTATTGAGTTCTCTATTTATTCACCTGTTCACATATTTCTAGTCTTTTGATTGTTTATTACTTTGTTTTTATTGTTTCTTATTCTGTTTCTTTAACTTGATTTCTATATCTTTTAATAATAAGTATCTTATTTTGTTTATTTATTTATCTCACTTGTTTGATCTTGTCTGGTGTTTCCTCAGCTCTTCAGTTCTAGTGTCTCAGAATCCCTTCACTGATAACTCGACTGTGTTTGTATTGTGTTATCGTATTTTGATTTTCTGTAAAGCACTTCCTGTTTGTATGAAATAAAGTCTGATTGATTGATTGATTGATTGATTGATTGATTGATTGATTGATTGATTGATTGATTGAAAATGAACTAATGCTTCGGCATAGTTGCGGAGATGCTGCATCTGAACCAACAGTAATGAAACCTTTAACGCAAACACAGGAGAATAACTCACAGCGAGTTCAATCATCCGTTTAATGCTCACACTGTGTGCACATACACAACATGTGTCCTGATGACAGATGTTAACATGTGCATGAATCAAGATCGGAAATTCCAGTTTCCTTCTAGCAGGATCTCCGAGCAGGACATGGTTTACGTGTGTGTGTGTGTGTGTGTGTGTGTGTCCAACCACTTCCTGTCCAGCCGGCAGGCCGAGGCCATAATGTGGCTTCTTTCCCCTGCTTCCTCTGGACACGCAAGTCTTATCGTACTCTGATGCAGAAACACACAAGAAGGCTCCCGTTCACCACAACGGCAGCAAAATCATTTCTTTTGCTCAGACTTTAGATTCTGGACAAAAGATCCCAAGATCTGAAGCGACCACTGCAGAGTTCTCAAAGTATAAATGATCTAAAAATGAATTAAATGCCCAGTGATGAGTTATTCTGGTAGACTAATCGTAGCAGCTGGACTTGCTTGAGTTCCTTGAAGACTTTTCATCCAAGAGGCTTCATCAGTTCTGACTGACTAGTTGGGAGTTCCAGATATCCTGAAGGAGACATTAACACCTGAGTTTCGGTTTCATTTGGGGGTTTGTTGCTCCTCCCCCTCGTTATGTGAGTCGTTGGTGCTCCTCCTGCCACAAAGGGGTTCGTTAGGGTCTTTTGTGGCGAGGTGTTGATGGGCTTCATGTGAGTTCACAGACATGTCCAATAAAAAAGAACTAAAATCTCAAATAAGAATATTTGCTGCAGCCTTTGCAATAATGTGAAACGAGCAACACAGGGTACGAGGTGTCAGAAAAGTTCCAGGACTGGTGTCACCAAAGATACACTTCCCCTTCCAAGTAATCCCCCTGGAGTCTAACACACATCCCCAGCCTTCTCTGCCTTCATGCCGCCATGTACTCCTGGAAGGATTCTGGATTTTGCCTTTTCTTTAATAGAAGGGGATGAATACATTTGAGCACGAGTGTAGATTTAATCAAGAATTTGTGATAAAAATCTGTTTCATTTTCCGTCTGCTTCTTCAAACTACATCAGGGAGGATGATCTACACGTAGCCCCCCGGTGACCTGCTGCCTCCGTGGTCTTACAAAACACTTCTGTCTCTCTGAAATCTGTAATCAGTTAAGAGGCGATGAACGACCAATCCAGCGAGTAAAAGTCAAGACATGCGAACGGTTTAAGAAACGCGACACCCTGCTGAGGAAGCTGGAGGATCTTCTGACAAAAGGATCACATGACGTGGAAGCTCACTGGGACAATCCCACGAACACACATTTGGCTTCATGTGTTGCTATTACAACGCGGGGTGCAGCGGCGGTGGTGGCGTCGGCCGTCGCTCTGCTTCAGCGTCCGACGCCACCGCGCAGGGCTCTGCTTCACCCTGAGCCAAAGAGGCAAGCTGGGGCAGAAGGTCCGAGTCACATCATGTCATGCAGAAGCTCGGGGCAGAATCGCACACACACCACACACACACACACACACACCTAGACAACAACACGACATCTAGAACACAAACCGTCGACTGATGGAGTGAGGAAAAAGGCAGCAAGCTTCAAGTCACAGCTGGAGTTTACTTCTCCTCCAATAAGTTTATGAATTCATTAAGTATAAAGAAATGTTTAAAAAAAACATCCCAATACTTAAAAAAATACATACATTGTCTTGGTTATATTTTGAGAACCATGGATTGGCCCAAGGCTTTAGTCTACAAAGTGGGTTCTGGAAGGATTTTCTTGGTTAAATTTGGAAAACTACTTTGAAACTCCAGAATTCTGCAGAAATCCACCAATAGTTTTGTGTTTTTGTTTGTTTTTGTGGTACAACTTGCAAAACTAGCTTCTATATTTTCATTTTTGTGATCATTTATTTCATATTAAAAAGTATTCTGTGTTGTGTTTTGTATTTTTGTGACATGCAGCTAAAATAAAAAATCACTAGTTGACTTCTGCTTTATAATTTTTTTTAGTTTTTGTTAACGCGAGCTCAAAGAAGAGACTTTTGCTCATCAAACACTATTTGATCGACTTCTCCAATATTGCAGATTCTGAATCAATCACAATTTCTGTTTTTTTTAAAATCTGTAATAGTTCCACAGATATTGTCGGTCAAACGCAGCCTCAAGTTTCAATGTGCAAAAACAACAACAAAAAAAAAGCAGTTTGGCGGGAATTTTTTTGGTTTATTTTTTAAATCTCGAAACGTATTTGAAATTAAAATTTACAATTCAGTTCCCTACTTTTCTCTAAACTTTGTGCAGCAGGAAGAAATACAGACAAAATCTGTGCAGCATTGATGCTTCTCTGTCAGTAATGTGTGCAACACCGTTCATATGTGCAATATTGTTATTTCTATTTTGCTGTTAGTTTTATTTGGACAATCTGAACGAAACCTTTTGCATTTTTTTTGTTTATTCTCTTTTTTATTCCTGATAATTCCACAACTATTTGCGCTGTCCTCTGTCCCCCACTGTACTGTAAATAACAAGCATGTTGATATTAATTATCTCAGCTCAGGCTCATGAATGTAAAAATAATAATAATGCAACAAAAATACAGTATTCTCACATGAATGTGAGGATTTTGGAGGACATTTACCAGACATGGGGCAGAGTTTTGCAGCTTTAAACAATCTGGTTTTTTGCCTCTTGCTAAATGTATATAAAGCACTCGTGGTAAACTCCTTTTACGTGACAGATCCTGACTTTAAACCTTAGTTTGTGACTAATCATTTCCCCTAAAATGTCCATTTTTATTTGAATAAACTGGAATAAATCTTGTGCAGAAAGGAGTGTTCATGCGTACAATGCCCTGAGTACAATCTGTTGACTTTAATTAGGTGGAATTCTGAAGGAAGGGGTTATTTTGTGCACAGTTTTAGATATGATGCTGCTTTGGCACATTGATGGACCCGCAGGCTGTCCCTATATGCAGCTTATCGATCAGCAGCTTGGATGAATCTGTGACTCACTTTCTCTGCTATCTGCTGTCATTTCCCCCTTTTTAATGCATGTTCATGGTACAAAACGCTGAGTCACTTCACCTGCTGGTTCCTCACTCACAGGACTCAGACTTCACCATCTGATGCAATAGGACACACTCCGGCTGCTTTATGAGGACATGTCGATGCAGTGATGCAGGACTTCCATGCATCAGAACACACAAAGAGAGCCATGCCTTGTTTACATCCCTGCGAGCTGCGCGGATGCTGCCAGGCCACGTGTGGAGGTGATGCTGGGAGCCACCTGAGCCACAACCCCTTGCCTTCATGAGCATCCTCCGGAGGGATGCTCTCTGCCCGCCTGATGTCCCGACTCACCTCCTCGGCGTGCTTCCTCAGCGCCTTCTCCCGCTCGTACTGGGTGATGAGCTGCTCGTTGTCCTCCTTCAGCAGCTCCAGCTCCACTTCGTGCTCCTGGTTCTCGGCGAACACCGAGTCCAGGTTCTCCAGCACGGCCACCACCAGCGGCATCAGCTCCTTCACCACGTCCTCGTCGTATTTGCCGATGAGCCGCTCGAACTCGCGGTAGATGGAGTTGGCCAGGCCCGACACCCGCTCCGACATCATCGCTGATGTCCCCGGGTCGTCCTGGTACACAACTCCGTCTTCCAGCTCCATTTTCTCCCTTTCAGCAGCAAGCGGGACCGATGCGGGGTGTGTTGTGCTCGCCTCAGCCCGCCACTACGATCCCCACAATGAAGAGATTGGCTTCAAACAAACGGACACATTGAGAAACGCTGCACGGATGTACTATTACGATGCAACACAGGCGACGTGGATTTCTTCCTATTTTTTTTTCCCTTTCCCCCTGACTTGTCCCGTGCTGCGTTCAAATGCTCATTCGAAGCTCCGATTTTACACCACCAATCATCACCACACGGTTCAACACGACCAGTCCCGTGATTTATAGGTTATCTTAGTGATTTAAAAAGACACAAACACAATCCCTACAAGTTTTATGCCGCACAGACAAGATTGTCCCCCACAAAACACCTCAAATCCAAATGTGATTCGCTAAAATGATGACTCGGTCGTGCATGTTTCACGCTGCGTGGAGGCGAAATGTGCAGCCCTTCATCTGAGAGGGAAGCAAACTACTCGATGCATCTAAGTGTTTTTATTATTATTATTATTTTTGCATCGTTTGTGCGCCTAAAAAGCCTGGCAGTTGCAGAATCTCCGGCGGTTCCTGAAGGCCCCCCTCCAACAGCTGAGTTGTTGACCAGATCACGTGATGACGTCACATCATGCTACCGACGTAAGATTATTTGCAAAGTGACTCAGTCCAGCGCTGGAGGCTGCTCATGCTGTCCAGCTAATGGGTTGTTTCTATTAATATTATTTTACAGAATGTACTAAAACAGTAAATGAGGAGGGGAAAAAAAATCAGAAATATAAATAATCTTCTACCTTGAGGATCATTCCATCTCAAATCTTTTACATTTTAGGACAACTTCTGCTTGACCATCTCTGATTTGCCTGAATTGTTGTATTGCATAATATAGGGATATTTCTGAATATATTTAAGTTTTAAACTGACATATTAAATACTTTCTGAGATAATTAGTGTTTAAATGAAAATAAAAATCTAAAGACAGATATGACATAACATACAGTACATAAGTATAATTACACCCCCCCACCCCACCCCCAAAAAATTAAATTAAATCAAATTAAATTAAATATACACACACACATACATATGTATACATGCAGTCATCCTTAGAGTTATTCCTACCATCCCGTTAAAGAAGGAAAAAAACAACAGCTGTCACTGAAATAGGTTGAAATTGACAAAAGTAATAATGAATAAGAATTTAATGAAAATCATGACGTTGCTTTTGAATTGTGGTTCAACAGAAATATTAAAAGACAAACAAACAAGCAAACCAGCCTGATGGGACCCGTGAACTAACATTTAACCCTCTGAGCCAATCACTGCCATCAGGTGTTTCCTGTAACTCTCAGTCAGACTTGTGCACCTGTTGACAGGTATTCTGGACCACTGCTCATCAGCAAAGGGCTCTCATTTGTCCGGGACAGTTTTGTTTGTTTGTTTGTTGTTGTTTTTTTCAAAAGCAATGTCTTATTTCACTAAACTGAAACACAGACATGTACAAAGGTTTTGTTTAACCTTCACAAGAATGGTCACTAGCCAGAAACTAATATTCACGTTTTTGTTTTTTTAATTTTACTTGTGATTATGTTGATTAATTATTGCTATAACAATACTAGTTAAATCAATCCACTATTTCATGAAGAGAGATGGAAACTGCTGTGCAGCAGAAAGAGACCTTTTCCGTTTTGAACCTCTTTCGGTATGGAGAACTCTGTGTGGTATGTGTAGTTTAAGCATTTTTATATCGTGCTCATGTGCGTTTTTTTTTGGTTGTTGTTTTTTGTCTGTTAACAGTCTTGTCTGGACAACAAGTTGGACTGGACATGCAACACGGACTACCTGTACAAGAGGGACAGAGCAGGCTGTACTTCCTGAGGAGGCTTCGGTCGTTCAACATCTGCAGGAAACTCCTGAGGCTGTTCTACCAGTCAGCGGTTGCCAGCGTCCTTTTCTACGCCGTGGTGTGCTGGGGCAGCAGCACATCAAAAAGGAACTCAACCAGACTGGACAAAATAATCAGGCGGGCCAGCTCTGCAGTGGGCATGAAACTGGACTCCCTGGTGACAGTGGCAGAGAGGAGGACACTGAACAAACTGCTGGCCATCATGAACGATGCCAGCCACCCTCTGCACACTGTCATCATCGCTGACGAGTTGACATTCTGGGATAAATATAAGACACCAGACAATGAGGGTGGGATGAATTTAATGAGTGTGGCTGTGGGCTAGCATGTGCTGCCATGAGCTGTTCGGTGGCTTCTCCTCACGGCACTGGGTGACAACTCTAGTGAGGCCTACAAGATAAAGAAAGCAGTTTCAGGAACATGATTAAGTAATTGGACTTAATTGTAACTGAATGACCATAGAAGCGGGTATGTGGCATTGTTTTAAGTGTGAATGTGCAAATTGAAAAGCTTGTGACTATCAGCCAAAAGAGTCCCCATAGGCTGGAACACCTTTTTAAAGGTTCCGGGGCAAACCAAATGTAGATGAGGAGAGGGGAGATAGTAACTTCCGTAGGTGATAAAGTCATTGCATTGTTTGAAGGAGATGTTGGCAGCTGTTTTTATGAAATAAATATTTAGTCTTAATGTTTGTTATTAGAGATAAAAGTAGTGAAGTATTGTGTTTTTGTGTATTTCTTGTGTGTGATTATTTTAGGTTAACCCTGATGCTGGTAGACCTGAGGGGCTGATTAAGGGGCTGCCTATAAAAAGCTGGCAGTTGAGTGAGCGCAGAGAGGAGAGGGAAGGAGCGGCACAATTTATGCCACCAGCTAGTCGCCTTGCTTTGTTTTTTTTGTTATATGAGTGTCGGTGAATAAACACCCGGTTGGTTTGCACCTTATCTCACCTCAAGTCTCCTGCTTAATCCAGCCGCAAACGGTCGTCCAGAGGAGTCAGTTCAGCGACAGGCTGCTCCTCCCCAGGTGCAAAACCAACAGGACCAAAAACTCCTTTGTGCCCCGAGCCATCAAACTGTTCAACTCTGAGCTCAGGGGGAGGGGGAGGAGCAGCAGGCGAGGAGAGGTGAGGACATCGGGGTGAGACAGGGCATCATGCTCGATCATCGTTGGACTATGGGCAATATTTTGTCACTGTTACTGTTTCCATTATTATTGTTGTTTTTATTGTTATGACTACTTCAAATATTGCACTGTGCTGCGACTGTTATTGTGAAATGTATATACACACATATATTTATTTATATACCTATTTATTTATGTTATATATAATGATACACCTTTATATTTATGTACTCGACTATATTTACCTACAACTACACTGATTGTATCACGTTATATACATATGCATATTACTATTATTAGTAATATTATCATTATTATTTGCATTGCTATTATTACTGTTATTATTATTACTAGTATTACACCGTGCTGCTGTTCTAACAGTTTGTTTCCTTTTTTTCCTTGTTTATTGCTTTTTTTTTTTCTTGATTGATGTGTGCTACTGTCTTGCCTGTGTTGTGTTGTTGCTAGTACAACAATTTCCCTGAGGTACCCTAACAAAGGGATCAGNAACGTGAATGAACGGTACTGTTCCAGATCCGCGCTTCCAAACAGGAGATCGGAGGTTTGATTTTATTGTATTTGACTTCGGCCGACTCGTACCTGTAACTAGACGCCGCCGTAATGTCGCGCTTCTCCGCAGTGGCAGTGGACACAGCACACAGCGCTTAGATGCAGCAGCCTGAGCTCATCCAGACCCTTTGAGGCTGATTAAAGTCTCTTAACTACCACTGAGGGCACGTTCCTCTGTGGCTGCGGTCTCGTGCAGGTTCCTCTCCCTCACCTGGACAGACAGGTCATAGGGGGACACGTTCATTTTGGGATTTTCACGTGAGAAATAGGAGGTGCGGCGTGAGAGTGCGTGAACTGGCTGAAATGTGCATGTCTCGCAGTCAATGCGTGAGACTTAGTAGCTAGCCACCGTACCCCTTCAGCTACCTGGCCTACTTTAATCAGTTAGCTAGCTTCTGGTAGCTAGCAACCAGGCTACAAACACGTATCCATCTCTGGAGAGTAAAATAACCTGCTGTTTTATAACTTCACAACGCGCTAAAGCATTGTCATAACTCACATTTAGTCTATTTCAATATTAGCTTAAGCTAACTCACCTGGATCATGTCTGTTTAAATGTCTGCTTTTACTATTTATAAACATTTCTTTGATCCTGCGTTTAAATCATCAAATCAGGTGAGTGCACTGAAATGAATCTATATTTAATGTCAGCATAATTTCCCTTTTTATGAGGTCCTCTGCAATGAAACACATGAAATCACCCGAGTCCAGTGCCTCGTGTGCTCCAATCAGGGTTCGCTTGTTATACACATCTATCTATCTATCTATCTATCTATCTATCTATCTATCTATCTATCTATCTATCTGTCTATCTGTCTATCTATCTATTCAGTTATTTAGATAGGACAGTAAGACACTCCACATGGTATTTATACAGCTATTCAGTGTACTTACTACTATGATGAATATTTAGAATAACGACAGCATTTCTGATGTACAATACAGACAGACAGATGGTTTACATAATGTATTACAGNTTTTTTTTTCTTGATTGATGTGTGCTACTGTCTTGCCTGTGTTGTGTTGTTGCTAGTACAACAATTTCCCTGAGGTACCCTAACAAAGGGATCAGAAAAGTTATATCTAATCTAATCTAGTGCTTTCCAGGAAAAAACCTGAAACTTCATCTATGACCTCGGTATGGTCCCTTGTCGGAGTGATTAGATTTTGGGCAATACATGCATTGGTGACGCAACAGACGTCAAAGGTTTAATTTCCCAAAAACAGCTCAGTGTGACTGAAAATGCACAAAAAGACACGTTTAGTTTACTAGCTTAGGAAGACATTCAAGGCCTACAAACTGGTGATGAAACATATGACCTTGAGACAAAGGTCAAAGTCACACTGAAGGTCTTAAATCATCACACATTTTAAATTGACTATTACTTTGAAAAGGTGTCAGACAAACACACAGTTTCATATTAGTCAGATAGGAGTGATGTGACATTTGACCTTGGATGAACGCTCAAGGTCATAAATCTTAGGTGCTTAACCGTAGGCGTAAATTAAAGCAAAACACTTCTCCTCCATGCACAATATCTGTGACAGACAAAGCTCCATCCATCATCTATACACCACTTAATCCTCACTAGGGTCATGGGGGGCTGGAGTCTATCCCAGCTGACTCAGGGTGAAGGCAGGTTCACCTGGACAGGTAACCAGTC